TGATGGTGAGAGTGATCGCTCGAGGGATGGTGAGGAGAGAGTTTGGGGCTGCCACCGCTACCACCCGCTCCAGCTTTGAGAGATCCTCCCCCAGAACTACTCCTTCTCTTTCGGCTGAATGGGCTGCGTTCGCTTCCACCTAGATGAAGGATGAGCAAAAACTTAATTGATCTCAATAGGAATCACAGTCAATCAGAGGAAAACCACTGACAGAGATAAAAAATTCATATATATGCCAAACTGAGTACTTCATATACATCCACAAATATATACAGTACACTCTTGATTTAATAAGCTAATGAGGAAAGGGTTTCCATTAACTTCACTGGTCTATTAAATCAAAAGCCATATTTTTGCTGGTTTTAATGCAACAGACTGAATACAATATAGTCTCTCTTCAAAATCTAAAGGTACAAATGAATTGAAATATTCAGCCTCAGAATTCTTCTCAAATATGCATAAAAGTTTTACTTCAATCAGTTTACTTGCAGACAGTTGCAATGTATAAGCAATTGCAAGTAAAACAGAAGCTTTAGTTAGTGAACTTGATATAAGCCTTTTTGTCAAGATCCTTCCTATATTTATTAGACCATGTATTGCAATATCTTGAGAAATTTGTTTTTTGAAGCTAATTCCCCCAAACATGAAAGACAGATTTGAAGCCAAAACCTACAGACTCTTTTGTTGATTACACTGATACCATTTCTCAAATATGACAGCCCTGAAATGCATAGTGGTAAATGACAATTTCTGTATATGTAAAAGCTGGAACCCATTAATCTGATATTTCTTATCTAAAGATTTACATCTATATTTACACCTATTTCTACATCTACATAGGCAAAACGATATAACCATAACTTCAATACTAACTATGTGAAGCAGAATGGTCTGCATGGGCTTCCTCCTGCAGGTGAGAGAGTGTGGGAGCTGCACTGGTATGTCCTTCCGCAGCACTAACTTGGCGTTCCATGCGTACACTACTCCAGCTTCGAGCAAAACTGCTTCGTACAGACTGCAAAACATAATGAAACGTGTTATTCACTGACATATAATAAGTATAGTAGTAGTAAATTCAAAAAAGACTATTTCTGACATATAATAAGTGTAGTAGTAGTAATTTCAAAAAAGACTATTTCTATCATAGTATATTGAATGCATAACACCTCATCATAAAAGTAAATCAAACCAAACTTACATCTAATCCTGTTAACTTGGTGCCTCGCTTTATCATCCGGCGCTCTGTCACTCGCTCCAGAGGGAGGTTATTGAGCTCCAAGCCGTACACATGGCGGGCAAGCACCCTAGTTAGTGTGTCTAATGTTTTCTGGAAGGCAATATGGTTTTTATTATAATTCTAACTTCATCTTAATGCATTATTTTTGCATACCATCTTCCTTTAAGTTACATTTGTTTTTTTTCTTTAAACAAAATCAAATGGAAATGAATACAAGAGTTTAGCAATGTTGGAGCTTCTCGGCCAGAGTAACCACAAGACTTGGTGGGCCTCCTTGGTGGTCTCACATCATCTTGGTTGGATATTAATAAAGGCTTCACAACCACTCTTCATATGGGAATGGAGCAGAGCACAACCATTTTCAGTTTTTTTTTAATCAAACTTAGAATATAACTTATTGCACAAAAAAAAATTGATGAAACAATGAAAAATGCAGTGCAACTTACAGCCCACTCCTTAACCAGCTCATCCCAGTGGGTAAGGGAAGAAAGGGTGAGGAGGAGCTGGTCCCACAGATCGCCCGAGATTACCACACTCAGGTTGGCCTTAATCCAGGAAACAATAAGGGTCTGAAAGCATAAAAAATTATATTATTTTTTTTTTTCTTTTACTTCCAAAATCTGAAATTACAATCACCGTCAAACTTAATGTTTTCAAGTTTACAAGCTTTTCAGTTATTACTGGGTTTTCAAATTACACTCTAGCCTCTAGTATCATGAATTACTATTATCAAAAGTTAACACCACTCAACATCCTCTCAAAAGTTTTATCCTTCATAGAAGAAAGAAAAAGAATTTGGCATTGGTTGAGAAACGAGCAAGCCCTCAGTTGGTCATCAAGAGAACCTGTCAACTCACTCATTCCTTTGTTGAACCTAAAAAGAACTGTGATTGTCTTTTATGTTGACAATAAATTAAACTATTTTGTAATTCTATTCATTCTATGACACTGCTATGACCATTTTCCCCTATTCATTTTGACAGTAACTCAAACTAAAAATAAGAACACCATATCCCTTTTTCCCTATGCATATCTCTAAATCAACAGGAAAGCAGCCCATTTCAGTCCTACCTGATTGAAAAAGTAAGTGATGTATTGTAACCTACCTGAAACAGTGCTGAGGCAAACCTCCCACCCAGAGAGTCCTCCTTGTGGGTGGCAGGTCGACCGCAAAGAGTCTGGGAGGTAATGTGAAGTAGCACCACCAGTAGTTGCTCCCTAGTAGAGAATATTTGAAGTTATGAGCATCAAGTACATTTAGGTAATCCTGTGTATATTTAGGCATCAATATAAATGTGTTTTACTCATATCATATTTTCAGGGCATGAAATTTGGGAATTGTGTCCTTTTGGTTGTACCATAATTTACTAAGCTCTGTTATATGACGGATCTTTTTTTTATGAAATAAGAAATTATAAATGTGTACAAAAAATGTGTTTTTTTAGTCAAATGTATTTGCTTATGGGCATCTAACAAAGAAAGAACTGTTCATCAATTTCACTGGAGTTCTCATCACTGACAGCAAAACACAACATTGGCATGTGGCAATGTAAAGGTAAAGATTAAAATGACTGTTTACTTACCATGTTTTCTGTTCCATGCGAGTGTTCATGACCATGTATCGGTAAATATTGAGCACGTGTTTGCAAACCTCAACCTGTTCATCCAAGAGACGTGGGTAGTCGGGAGACACCTCTAAGAGGAACACGTTGGCTGCACTTGTGATGAAAACTTGCAAAACATTCTGAAGAAAGTAATATTATCAAAAATCTTACAATCACACAAACAATCACTCTAAACTACATTCTAAAATATACTAAACAAAAAGATATTTACAGATATCCTTCTGCTAAATCTTACAGCCTTGTTTTCATGACTTTATAAATGCATCAATCAACAATAATACATTATATCTATATGATAATAATTATGTCCATTTTTCAATATAAACATCAAGAATGCTTCTATATACAAATAAACATAATGCTATCCTATACTTACCTGAAGGCCAGCTCGAATATGAATCTCTTTGTTGACAGCCCCAAGGTAAGATTCATTGCGCAGGCGTCTCTGGCTATTGTTTTCCATAGGCCCTGCTGCATCATCCCTTGGGCTTGTACCTCCTTCCAAAGGCTCCAACATGAAGGGGGGCATTTCTGGGGTCTACGATAAAATTTTGAAACTGTTCAGCATTTCTCCCAGAGAAAACAAACCAAAAAAAATCAAATATATATTCACAATTAGATTCCAATCTAGCTGATAGTTTTTGGAGTTTAAAGAGGTACTAGCAATAGAGTAGAAGTATCTTTAAGCCATTATTCAATCATTCCTTCCCTAAATAAAAAGATGAATTTTTATTTAACATTCTGATTCCCTATGGCCAATTACATCAAAAGTAGCACTTACATTCATCTGTATCCAGTCTTTGTAGGAAAATATTACAGTTTTCATGACCCCTGCATAACGGAAACTAAGACACAGTGCTTGGCGAAAGAGTTCATGGATGAAGTTGATATTCTCACGAGAGGAGAAGAGAATGTCACGCACCATAATCCCATCCTCTCCTGAACCTCCTTCATCACTGTGGGGTGTGGAAATTAACACATGTAAATGGAATATATCAACTATCCAACCTCTGTTTCTTTATCCTTTTTTTTATTTCTAATGTCAGGTCATCTTAGAAAAAAAAAAAAAAATCTATTCAATACTTATTATCTTTACCTGACGTAAAATGCTGATGTGACTGAATCCTGGTCACTGGTACTTCCCTCCGGTGCATCTCCGTGGCCAGAGCGACGTCCATCATCCTCACTAGTAACAGTATAAAACAGTCATAAGACTTCCTCAAAAATCAGAATTATAGTTAATTTACAAACTTTCCTCTTCATCTAATAAGTTTAATAATGTGGGTAGACACTGGGTGACACATGGCCTTAACCTAAAGGTCTTACAAGTCACCATCTCCCCCAGTGTTCTAGAATAGTTGGGGTCCTACTTAATTGTGGCATCACTGACTACAACCACCCTAAATATGATTCTTTGAAACCTTAGCCCACTGCGCTATCAAAAATAAATGACATACCTTAATTCAAAAACAACACATCAAGCATTTCACTTTACACATTTTGGGCAATTTCAAAAATCTTCAGACTTATGAACATTAGTATTCATCATAACAGAGTCCCACCTAACAGACGATAGCGATTGTCCACTCCGCTGTGAGGTAGCTATGACAAATTTCCGCACCCACTCCACAACTGCCACCTGACATGTGCCGTAAGGACTCACACCAGGACTGCCCCTCAGTTCAGGTAGTTCTGGAATTTATATGAAGAGAAAAGAGATGAAGAAACATTGTAATATTAATTTCATATTTGTCTTTTCCTTTACGAATACCTCAAAATCTAAACTATCATGCAAAATTTTCTTCCCATTCTAATGAAGATCATATTTCAAAAATTATTCTTATGCAAACCATTCCCACCAGGTGACATGCTTTCATGGCAAAAAATTCCACGGCACTTGATAATGTCTAATCCCCTAATGAGCTGGGTCTTGATGGCCTAGATGGCAGTTCATGAGCCCAGTTGTGAGGCACAGAATGGCACAAGTTGACGCATCCTGGCTTCACCAAACTTTGTACAAAATTTTACTCCATCCTGAATGAGTTAAGCTCTGATTCTTTCACAGATTTCCAGTGCCATTCATGAATGTCTAGAGCCAATGGTTTTAGAAGAAACTGAGACTTAAAAGGATCTCATTAGTGATCTCATTAGTAACACTTTGTTTTTATGTCCAAATCTGGGTAACGTGTATAAAAAAAATCTTTCAATTTTTTGTGACAAATAAGATGGCAGCAATTATAATCTGCAGGTTGAAATACTAAGCAAAAAAAATATGCCATTTTACATCAAGTCACTGGACTTACATCTGAAAGTCTTTTGAGTCTTTGCTTCAACATGTATGGGATAAGACCATTTAAATCAATGTCTATAAAGTACCTAAATATGCAAAATCACTTGCAAAGATTCCCTTATTAGAAATCAAAACTCAGCAGTAAAAAAATATGTAGATATAGACCTTCTAAATATAAATTATTACCCTAGTCACTCGTCACATTATCACAACAATCTAAATTGTTTTATGGATATTCATATCAAGCATAGGCTCTTCCCTAGCATGAATATCTAATAACAAAAGATTGCAAGAAGAGCGAGACTTACCCAGGTTAGGTTTATAGAGTGTATTTTCAGGATTGAAACTGGGGAAAATGTGTGGCATATACCAGGCACGAAACATTGCAAACAGGTATGAAAAAGATTTGGTGTGTTGTGTGCGATCTCGCCACTCAATCCTCCGGACCTGTAAAAGAGTACTTTCTTCAATCCAAAATCACCTAGAGCATATCAAGTATATCATTTTTTCTTAAGCCATATATTTCCTTGGAAATATGTGAGATTCAGCTTTCTATATAAACGTCCATATGATTTTCTCAAAAAAAGAGAGAAAAAAAGAAAATCTAAATTCTCTTTCTATATATTGTTCAGCTTTTGCTGAACTACCTAACATCTATTCTTTAAACCTTAATATTTCAAACCATTATATTAAAATGTTACTGCAAAACCATGGAAATCAAATCACTCCTTTCTTATCAACTGATGGGAAATTCAACTGACAATGGTGACACTAAAAGAACATAAAAAGTAAGCTGCAGGAGAGCACTTCTGAAAAAATACAACAAAAAATCCTTACTGACCTGCGAGACCATAAAATCCATGAGCGACCTGAGGAAGTACGAAGTAAGATCATCGGGGGTCTTCTCAGTGTTGGAAGGTTGGATGACTGGTGAGGGCTCCACGCAGGTGATTCCCCCACAACCCAAATCTGGTGGCATGGCAGCAGGAGGGGGGATAGGGAACCCTGGGACAAGGGAGGCAAACATGCGGTCCATCTCTGGGGTCTTTGCCTCCCCGACGATCATGTACCACAGAATGAACAACCTGTAAGCAAATATGGAGTTGTGAAATGTGACATAAATTCACATCATCATGGGTAAATTTACATCAAAATCAGTAAGCTGCTACATGATGCCCTGATAGAAACAATAAATGTCCTCACCTCATTGCCTCCCTCCGTAACCGCACCGTGTTGCCAGGGTGAAGGATTTTTTTGAATATATGTGTAAGTGCATTGCACTGCCATCTTCGCTCAAAAAGTTCAGGAAGGATACACAGGAGACGATCAAGCACATACAGTGAACATTCTAGGTCTTCCCTGTGACTTCGTTGTACAGCAAAAGTTCCTGCCAAAAGCACAAAATAAAAGTATTAAAAACTAAAACATGAATGACTCTTAGATCTGTACTAAAAATGATACATGAATGATTTCTCATTAAAAGCAATGAAACTAATTACTGAGTCTTAACATAAGTTTTCACTAGACAGGCAAGCCAGCCAGCTCACCCTTCTGCCGTAGATTTCCCTCGAATGTGATGAATGCCTCATAGAAGACATGGAACACAGGGCTGTAGTTTACCTCCAAAAAGACTTTCACTTCCCCAGGTTCCTGGTTATCTGGAGACAAAAATTCTTATATTAATTAAACAAGATTACAAGTCAGCCTGGAAAGGACAAAAGATGCTGAAAGTACACATAGTCAAAAGATTGAAACAGAACAATAAGACATAGCTATTACATTAAGTGCAAGGCAGAATCAGGTTGGTCACTGCTGCCATAAATAAAGAAATACCTAGTAATATGGTATATGCTTATGTAGTTTATACAGGATACTTCAGGACTGTACAAGAAAGGTCAAACAAAAGGGCAAAGTATCTTCTATGATTGCCAATTTAAACACTAACTGGTGTAGAGGTCACTTTATGTCTTTTATTGATCCTTGTTTTATTACTTCTACTCTCTTCCCAATGAATCTTTAGATCAAAGTATAACACATTTCATATTTTCTCTTACTAACATCATGAAACAAGTGATATCATGTCATATTTTTCTTTAAAACATCAAAACCATACTTTACAATGGTCAAAGTAGCTTCAACTGTATCATAACATTACATAAGATCCACATAGCTTGGATGAATGAATAAATATTTCCTCTAAAATCTTTCATCCTTTCTTTCCAAGTCAGAAGCGAAACCAACATGGAAATCTAATCAAGTGTTCTATTGACAGTTTAATCACCCACCTACAATTTGATAATGGGAACTGATAAGGCCACCATAAAACAACAATAAACATTGTACTTTTTTATAGATATTCAGGATATGGAAGACAAACTCAGCAAATAGCAAGATATGAAAATAATGATATACATTCTTTCCAAAGACAACAATCAAGTAGTACTTGCAACAGACGATATTCATCATTTCAACACTAACTGCACTTTTAATCATATAGTGGCCACAATTCAACTGTAAGTTTTTGGCAAATAACCACCTATACAAAATACCTCCCCCAAATCCTAATGCAATACTGTCAGCAGCCAGCCAGGCAACATACGAAATAATATAAATATTCATTTCAGATTGCACAAGGATAGCATATATAGATCAAGGAACTAGATACAGCCAGCAAAGACAAGTCTGCAATAATACATTACATATATTGTTTTACAATTATAAGAAATATATGCCTGTGTCTATATATATAACATAAATAAATATAAATAGGCATATAAATAAAAAGTAAATAAACAGGAAGATAAACCAATCAAGAGACAAATAAAATATGAATAACTCATATCCTGACAAAAGGTTTTATAATCTTTATAAAACAAATAAGTGTCCTGTCTCAAAGATTACAAAATTACTGGCAGTTTTACTGACGATGTGGTTTAAATGGATGGAAAACATCACCAACAAGTATGGAAACTTTAAAACTTCTTTTCAATAACTTCAATAAAAAGTCATATATGAAAAAATATAAAGACAATAAACTTCTACCACATATATACTGGAAAGACAAAGAGGTTTCACCGGTTCTGTGTGGGAAGTCTGAGCTCTTTCTTGGCAGAATATAATTTGAGCAGGTTTTCTGGCCACCGCTAGAGCACAAAACATAGAAACCATAGCATCACTTGACATGTACACACAATAATTTGTTAAGTTATTGTGGGCTGACCTTCACTTCACACAGATTATCAACCTAATAGTTATATATATATAAAGACATGCTTGATATGTTCTATAAGATGCCTGATTTCATTCATTTCTGGGGAGTCTAATCATCCATGACTTCCTTCACATTTTTCTTCTATGGTGTAAATTATAGACAATGTCAGAAATAGATAGGTTATGTATGTGTGCCATGTGAAAATGCATATATAAAAACTTGTAGCATAAGTACTTACATTTTTTTTTTTTTTTTTTGCTCCATTTAGTAATACTACAATGATATAGTGATTTTTAACTGTTATGTAATCTTGCCTATTAAATCAAGTGTCCAAAATTGCTGTCATATGTTTATTACTAGCATTGCTGTCAACTGATTTTGTCTACTTTTTTCTAATAGCCTAATCAATCATAATAACAGTGCAATGTGGAATATCAAGAAGATATACTCCAATGTTACAGTATCACCACAGTGTGTGCTATGTACTGAGCATGACATTGCGGCACAACTTGCACCTCTAGCCATTAAAGCTATACCCTATGCACCCCCCCCCCATTTCCAGAGTACCTTCAGAGTAAAACTTTTATAAAATAATGGTTGTCATTTGATAAATAATATGGAAAAATATCTAATAAAAAAAAAAACATACTCTGAAGACAATTGCTAAAGCTCCACTGCAATGGAAACTAGATGCTTATGCTGTCCCCTGACAACATCCACTTACCCCCTGTTTTTTTATTACGTTTCAGTAATAATATAATGGGATACATTTTGTCAAAATATGAAAACTATCATGTCATTCAATACAATATGCAAAGCTAATAAATTATTTCTCTCATCCTTTTCTTGTGGTTCTGACAATTAAAGATATAACAGGTGTGGACTGGGTGGGTGAGGTGGAAGTCAAAAACGTAAATAATATTCTAAAAGTTAAAAGTGCCTAGAATCACTTAAATTACACACAAAACTATAGACAAAAAATGTGAATCTTAAAATGAAGACTGTGAAGAGATTCACAAAAACTGAAGTACTGAAACAAATACATTAACTAATATAATTAGGTAGGGGTAAGTATCTTCATAGTATGAAGGTAAGTCCAATGATTCTAATTTAAGACACATCAACAAGGTCTCAAGCAACTGCCATGGCCTCTGAGCCTCAGGTACTGCGGCTAAAAACAGCAAATTCCTACAACTCGTATTTACCCTAGACAGACCTTACAACATATCAGGGCCAAAAGCACAGAGACCATGGCACTAAAGGGCCTTGGTCTCTGGCTGATGGGGTCCAAAATTCTGAATTAACCCCATTTTTCTGAATAATGTCAGTCTTGAAAACCATTCTGTTAAATAAACATAATATCTATTTGTTTCTCTGTTTGAAAAGACAATGGATGTATGCGTATCTTGTTAATACATGTAATGGTAAGTCATCACATGGAATGTAAATACTAGGTCTGATTCCTTTTAACATCTATCATTCCATGACGTTAAGTTCTAAAAAATTACCTCCTATATTAATAAAATGCATCGCATATCAAAACACATAAAATCAATCAAATTATTCTAGATTAGAAGACCCCTATATAATTACATATATTATTCGTTCGAGGCACTCTTAATCTTAATATCCAAAATTCCAAATAACTCTCATACGAGCTTTAGCTTAAATGACTTGGCTCAGAGCGAGCAAATATTGCAACTTATCCGTCCTATGCATGCACTTTCTTATTGTAAATTGCCTCTGGACACAAAACTATCACTGAATCCCATGCAATATCAAAGATTAAAGACCTATATATAATAAGACATAGAACGATAGGAAGCCTAGGCCATGTATTAACATTGCTGGTCAGGCTAAGAAATGACATTCTGGTACTCTTATAGACAAAGCTGAAACTCATCCTAATGCTGTGCATTGTTGCACGAATATCAGCTGAATTGTATGTGTAGATATCATAGGGGTCTTCTCAAATCGCCTTCATACAACTAATTCGTCCTAAAATTCCGTAAAGGAGATCGAGTAGCACCAAGGCTGAATAAAGAGGAGAAAGAGGGAAATAAAATACGCGCTCATGTTACATTATGCACAGAAGGTGTAGGCCTTGCGACATCACTGCACTGTGATCGTATTCACAGCACATCAATAAGAAATGACGAAAGTAAAAGTGGCATTTCAATGCCTTTAAATTGAGTTATCCCCTACAGAAAGTCCCTCCGCCTTAGTGACGACTCGCCGTGGGGCATCCGAGCATTCAGGACTCTGAATGATATAAGGCAGGAGAGGAAGGGAATAACAGAGCCTAAGGAAGTATATATAAGCATATTGGCAATGTTTGGATTGTACTCCTTACTAAAATTAGCACACGTCCGCTCGAGAGCACTTCAAGCGGGAATGAAGCACGTATCTACGCACTTCGGACTCCCACTCAACGTCCCTGCAATATGCTTTGGCTTTCTTAGAACGCTCATAGCTATGAATCGTGGCGTTCTCACTATAGAGAACATTTGTTTCAATGTCTATATGTAGGTATTTTTGAGTAGGCGAGGAGTGGTCTTAATCGCGAGAGACCACCAGGAGACAAGACTGACACTGCAAACTGAGAGAGATGACTTGTGAATTCGACAGATTAATCGGAACACTTGTCACAATTCGCGAAAGCCTTCCAACCAAACCACAGACTAAGTCGTTCTCGATTACAGACTCTCCTACGGATCGCGTCCACCCTTCTGGTCTCGCTCTCTGCACTTTTATGCGCGCTTTTGCTCGTTGACTTTATTGCCTAGATATGTTATAGACTATGTTAAGATTAATCTATAGTTGAACTAAGTTCGTTATAACATGAATATTGAGTTTGTAATGGTAATTTTTTGTGTCGTGATATTTGTAGTAACTGACACGAGTTTAATTTGTAGTGAGTGCTTGAAAGATGACTCCAACTTCGTCGGGAACTGTTCACTGCTTGTGATGAGCACATATTGTGTATATAAGTTGATCCTCTTTTCCACCATTCGGAATTTCATATTTAGGGGCCTGGATATCGGTTTTCTATTTCATTCTCCATAATAATGATATACCGACTGAATAGGGTCCTGGATATACATCGCATCGCTATCGTTTATGACACTCCGAGTATTGTACTGTCTCAATATGGAGGATATTAAATTTTGGTTTCTACGTAACTTAACAGTCTTTTATCATATATGCTTGTGGAATCTTACGTAAAGATTGCGAGCGTCAACCAATTTGCAGTGCATATCTATAGGACAGGTCACATATTTATTTTATTGTCGTGCTTAATAGTTTTTTGTCTGAAATGTCAATAGTTTAATTTCTCTAAAGTGACCAATTCTAAGGCTAACTTCTAATACACTTTTAGAAGAAAGTAGATATTGATCATTTTAGAAGTGGCACCACTTTTCTTCTAATCATCAACCTACTCCCAGT